TTGTGAGCCCCATAATAGGAAATCCATGGTAGCTTCAATCTTTTATTTACCATGATGTTCTTTATTGGTTACGTTGTAAGGATTTTTCTTTTATTTTGAGGTGTAATCCATACAGAAGGATGGCCTTTTTTATGTTCATAAGTAAATGCTTCAAGTCCGCTTCACTTTTAGCAAGTAAGAATGTGCTATCTGCATATAAAATGCTGTCGATGAACCTTCTTCCCATCTTGATGTAGTGTTTTTTATATTCCAGCTTCTCTGATTATTCAGCACACAGATTGAATAAGTATTGTGAAAGGATACAACCCCGATGCACTTTAATATCCTTAATATCTATTCAATATCTTCTTGTTCTATTTGGACAACTGCCCCTTGGTCTATGAGCACAATTAAATCTTCTAAAATTCCTATTTTTTCCAATACTACTCATAGTATATTCTGATCCACACAATCAAATACATTTACATAGTCATTTTTTGGGTATTGCCTGCTTTCAGCCAAGATCCCTTATGAGGTCACCATTGATATCTTTTTCCATGTTTTTGAGTCCAACTTGAATTTCAGGAAGCACCCTGTTGATGTACTGCTCCAACCACTGTTAAATGATGTTCAGCAAAATTGCACTTGCTTGTAATATTGATATTGTTTGATAATTTGAAATGGACATAAATGTGGCAGACACTTTAAAAATTAAAACTACGAACTCTGTTGGTTCTAAATTTTAAAAGTATATTGGGGTTCTTAATATGGCACCCTCTCAAAAGCTATGAACAACCATCTAAGGTACAATTACTTGTCTCTCCTTATTCAGAGAAAACAAAGGTGATGAGAATTGAAAAACATGGAAAACATTTAGTCCAATGAACTAATAAACTATGCAAATGTCAACCTCCATGACCCTGAGACTGAAGAGCTAGATGCACTCTTTTTAATATGATTAAACCACTGAAATATTTTTTAAAAAGTAGAAGAAGAAGAAAAACTAGATAGTTCCTGGCTACCACTACCAACCACTCTGAAAAGGATCACAGTTAGAAAGAAGGTCCTGGATAGATTGGGAGAAAAATATATAACAAAACCTGTGGGGAGAAGTCAGATCCTTGCTGCCAGACTGCTGTCTCATCCCACAGCAGAGCTGGGCCTGCTCCCTTAACCCTGTTGTCATAGCACTTTACAACGAACGCTAC